CGGTACCGTCGGCCAAAGAAGGAACAAGGGGGACCCCTTTGCGAAGCCAGAGAGAGCACCCATGAGTCCCTGGCGGGGTGGCTGGCCCGCGCAAGACTAGGTAGTTCCCTATATCCGTCCATCCTTGACGGGGGACCCCTGACTCTGCCGTGCCAACGATCAGTAACTTGGCGGTTTCGAACTGAGCTGCAAGCATCCTCGGCCGTTCTGCTGCATACAGGCCAATAGGCGCCTTCTTGCCATTGCCTATTGCACGCAGACTGGGAATATTCGCAAAAGCCAGCGGCGCCACTAGTGGGAGATCTGGAGAAAGGTAGGTCATGATGAGGACCACGAGGAGAGGAGCGAGGCGGACTAACCTCCATTACGCTAGGCGCGTCGGACACTAGAATGAAATCGCCCGGACACATGGATGGGAACTGTTGTCTGCTAGGGATGTCTAGCAATTCAATCCAGGCCCAGGGTGCGGCCAACGGGTCAGCAAGCCAGCCAGCCCAGGGGCACACAAGGGGGGGACCAACTATTTTAAGCGCTGCTAACGCGCACAATGTATCTGCCATTTCATTGAGGGGATCTTCCAAATGGGACTTAACATGATGAAAGGCGGTGGGTGCAACTTGCTGGAGGGCGAGGACCAGGGACCTTAGACGCTTCGTAAGGCCCGACATATCAGGTAACCCTCCTAACCCAGGGGCCGCTCGCAACACCGATAAGTTGTCAACGTGAAAGCTAAGATCTCTGCACTTTGCTTGTAGTGCCCATGCTGTGGCCCAGATCATGCCGACTGCCTCTGACGCCATGCTAGCATGCACCTTGCGGACAGACAGAGCATCTAGGTCGAGCACCCCTGCAAAGAAGCCTCCAGGGTGCCATGGCCCTGTCGGGGGGCACAGCAGAACAACAAACGCCCATGAGGGTGCAACAGTACCTCCACCATCCGAGCCATCCGTGTAGATAAAGGCACGCCAGGCGCTTTGGTCCTCGGGGGGAAGGGGGGAAAGGGATAAAAGAAAGGAACGTGAGCATGGGAGCAGAAGAGACGCTCAATGTCCTGCCATCTCCTTGCAGGGGCCCACGACCAGGGTGCCTTAATCGCCTCGAGCAAAGCTGAGCACTGCACCGGTTGAGACCTTATTGTGTTGAAAGGGCCATCCTGGCTGCGATCGTCCACATCGATCGGAATCGGGGTGGTCGGTTGGGCATTCCCGGCTGCTCTCCAGGCTCGGAGCCTTCTTCTTCTGCGGCCTCCCGGCCCTCTCCTCGCGCTCGCCTCACAGGCGAACGAGAAATCTCCCGCCCTCGGCTGACCGCCGCTGTCGAGCCCACTCCTGGGCTCCGCGGCGCAGCAAAGACGGGAGAGGACGGAGGGGCAGACGTGCTGGCGGCAGCCACCGATGGCGCCGTCACAGCTGACATGAGAAACTGTGGCGGTGGCACAACGCCACCAGGGGGAACCTTGGACGCTGCCAGCAAAGCCCCGTGCTTTGCATTCAGAATATTGAACTGCTAGCCCAGGCTGTCCACGTTGTTGTCGATCCTCTGCTGAAGCGAAACAAGGTTCTGAGACGGAGAAAAAATCTGTGCCTGTACGACTGACAGGTCCACTTTTGTGTAGGCTGCAGGGCTGGCGTCGGCGCTGGCTGTTGTTGCGCAGGCATCCTCCACGGCGACTGCGGCGCACATGATTGGCCGCGCTCCACACCTATCTCTCGACCTTCGTCGGCGTCCATGGCCTTTGGTTCGCCGAGGGGTTCTTGCGTCGCAGGCTCAATGGACTCTATCTCCGTCAACGCCTGTTGATGCCTTGCAACCCAGTGCTCTGAGATCTCTCTCTGCATTCGAAGATCGTCCAACTCTGCTTCTTTGGCACGAATGGCCAACTCTTGTGAATCCAACTTCGACCGCGATCGCTGCAACGCAGCCCGCTGGCGCTCTCTTTGCTGCTCCCAAGGGCGACAAAAGGTGAATGGCTGTCAACTAACTGCATACCACTCTCTCTCGTCCTCGCTAATCTCCCCCGCCTGATCCTTCATGCGAATCGTAGCCGCTAACACCTTCATCTCTGCCCTCCTGCGGCTGGTATACTGCTTCCTGTCGCCATCTGTCGCATCCTCTCCTGGCAACGGGGGAAATCGATGGTGATAGATTGCATGCGCCGGCAGAGCAGGAAGGATAATGAGCGGGGCGGGACCGTTGGACGACGCATCTTCCTCCTCGTCGGCAAACGTAACAGACGGAGAACGTGTACGGACATTCTGTCTCGTCTAACGTGCTCCTCTTGACCGGCGGCGTCCGTGGTTCTGAGCCTCCTGCGAGTCGGCTTGAGGCTGCGATTGTTGTCGAATCCACGGATCTCTCACCATTCCGTAAGCTGACGGAGGCTGCTGCTGCTGCTGTGCACGCTGACGTGTACGCTGCTGTGCACGCTGTTGCTGCTGCTGCTGTGCACGCTGTGGTGCTTGACCTCTGCCACGGGGGAGCTGCAACGTCTGACCTGGCATGCACGAAGAACAAAACTGGCACTCGAACGAGTTAACGGATCCACATATCTCACACAGCCAGTTGTCCTGCATTGACTGCTGCCGCTGAGATGAGTGATGATCCAGAAGACGGGACTGGGCAGCTGCTACTCTAACCAACAACCGATCTTCCGCCCCCCTCTGCCGAGCACGACGGTGCCAGGCTCCTTCTGGACGTTCGCGCGAAATCGCGGCTAGCCGCAACACAAGCGGCGGGCGCGCTGGGCTGGGATCGTCGGATCTGGCTGGGGGAAGACAGAATTGCCGAAATCACAACGCACCGCCAGGAAAGGTCTCTGGCGGCCCAATCCATAGGAGGAGGAGGAGGAGGAGGAGGAGGAGGAGGAGGAGGAGGAGGAGAAGGAGGACTGCTGCTGCTGCTGCTGCTGCTGCTGCTGCAGCTCCCCTTGCGCGGACGTCCCCGGGGGAGGTGAGACTGCGCCATGGCGCGTCCTTGGAGTGCGCCCAACCGCTGCGCACACTGCGCCACGTGCTCACGCAGGGCGGGGGGCACAGCCGACGAGAAGCCCGCCCTGCCAGCAGGTGTCCCACAGCCGCGTCTGATCCCACCGAAGGCCCGAGGGACCCACTGTGGGGGGCCACGTGAATAGGCCAAAGATGGGCGGCCTTTGTAGCCCCAGATTTGTTGCAGCGAGGCTTCTCGTCGAGCGCGCGCCTGTCGCGCGCTTTTCCTTTTACGCTGCCACGCGCGTTCTTCTTCTCACATCACTGCGGCTCTTGCCCTGGTGACGACGTCTACGCCGATGATGGTGTTGCTGATCATGATGATGCTGATGTTGCTGATGATGATTATGATGGTGATGCGGTTGATGATGATGTTGATGATGATGAGGCTGATGATAATGAGGATGGTGGTGGTGGTGATGATGCTGATGATGGTGACGATGACAATGATGATGATGGTGATGCTCATGATATTGATGGTGATGATGTTGATGATGATGATGATGATGATGATGATGATGATGATGGTTGGTGATTATCATGTTGATTATGGTGATGATGATGCAGATGATGGTGATGGCTATGGTGATGATGTCGGTGAAGATGTGCTGTTGCCGATGATGGCCATGCTGATGGTGGCGATGACGATAAGGGTGATTGTGGCTTGTTCGATGTTCATGTTGGTGATGATGATACTGATGACGATGATGGTGATGATGGTAGTGGTGACGAGTATGATGATACTGTTGTTCATGAATGTGACGGTGTTGATGATGATGGTGATGCTGATGCTGATGCTGCTGCTGCTGATGATGATAATGATGGTGGTAGGGATGATGATGCTGACGTGCGATGGAGATGATGAGGATCATGATGAGGGTGAAGAGGACCATGAGAATGATGAGGATGGTGAGGGTCGCCGCCCGCTCACCTTTGCCCCCCTAGGGTCCATCATGGTTACCTGGAGTCCACAAGGTATTTTCCGCCACCAATTTTTTTCCGGTCCCAGGGACCGAAACCGGCTGTCCGAGGCTAGAACATTCTGGGACAAGCTATATGCGTTTTGCAATCCTCATCTAATATGGAGCAGGGTGAAGGCGATGGATCCTCCTTCAACGCTTCCTCGAGGAGCAGGAGGAGAGGAAGGAAGGACGGTGGGATGGGGGAGGAGAAGAAGAGGAGGAGAAGGATGGAAGGTCGAGGATCGGCATCCTCATTTTTCCTTCTCCCGGATCGGCATCCCAGTCTCCCAGAATCAGGCGCAACGAAGGGGGCCATATTCAAGTCTGAGCGATTGTCATACCAGGAACATGAAGCCTGGGGGGGAGCTTCCCCTCATCAAGAGTTTCAAAATCCTCGCTCCCCAGACCCCCATCCCGACTGGGTCCTCCTCCTCCTCCTCCACCTCCTCCTCCCCTTCCACCTCTCCCTCCTCATTCTTCCCCTCCTCCGCCTCCTCCTCCTCCCTCCTTCTCCTCATCCTCCTCGTCCTCCTCCTCCTCCGCCTCTTCCTCCGCCTCCTCATCCTCATCCTCATCCTTATCCCCATCCTCATTCTCGTCCTCCTCCTCATTCTCTTCCTTCTGTCTCACCCCCTCCTTCTCCTCCCTCCTCCCTCCCCCCTCCCTCCTCCTCCCTCATCCCTCCTCCTCCTCCCTCATCCCTCCCTCTTGCATCCTCCCTCCCTCCTCCCTCCTCGTCCTCCTCCTTCCCCTCCGCCTCTTCCTTCGCCTCCTCCTCCTCATCCTCATCCTTATCCCCCTCCTCTCTCCTCCCTCCCTCCTCCCTCCTCCCTCTTCCTTTCTCCTCCCTCCCTCCTCCTCCCTCATCCCTCCCTCTTGCATCCTCCCTCCTACCTCCTCCTTCCTTCTCCCTACCTCCTCCCTCTTCCCCTCTCCTCCTCTTCTTCCTCCTTCTCCTCCTCCTTCTTCTCCTCCTCCTCCTCCTCCTCCTCCTCCTCCTCCCTCCTGGCGTGAGGGGGGGCGGCGGAGGAGGGCCCCGGGCGCCCCCAGGTAGATGCCAAGTGCGATGCCCCTCCCACCCGCCAGCGGCAGGGTGGAGGTCGGCCGGGCCGACCTGGCCGTGGTACGGCTGCCGCGCGGAGGCCTCGCCGCGGGCTCGCCGTCGTTGTCGTCGTCGACTTCGTCGTCCGCGTCGTCTTCGTCGTCGTCGTCGTCGTGGTCGTGGTCGTGGTCGTTGTCGTCGTCATCGTCGTCGTCGCCGTCGTCGTCGCCGTCGTCGTCGTCGTCGTCTGGGTCGGGGTCGGGGTCGGGGTCGTCGTTGTCCTTCCCCTCTTCCTCCACCACTCCTCCCTACCTCCCTCCCCCCCTCCCCTCCCCCCTTCGGCCTGTGTTGTGCTGGCAGTGTTGAGATTCAATCGCGTGTCGTTGGACCTGGTAACATTACGGCAGAATGCACATGGGGCCAAGCAGCGCAACGACAGAAACCGTGGTTTCCCATGCATGGGCGCTGCCGGCAAAACAGTTTGCGACGGTTTCTGTAGTTGGCCTTGCATTGGCGTCTGGCGGGGACGAGCAGCGTTGCGACCAAGTCTGATAACTTTCTGTTGACTTGATTCCGTGAGCATCGAGAGGGAAATAATGGAGTTGTGACAAGTCCATTGGAATTTCTGCACCGCCGGGACCGATGTTGAGCGGATGCTCTGGTGGAGCTGAAGCTTCTGGAATCTCAAACTCCATCCACGATATCGATTCGACTCGACTCCTCCTTCCCGTCCTCGACGACGACGGCGGCGTCGACGACAACGGGGATAGCGGCGACGACGATGACCCCCCCGACATCTCCCGGGGCACGTGCTGGCTGGCCGAGGCCAGGCGGGCGCGCCCCGAGGCTCAACCGGTATACGTAGAAACCCTGACCATCGGACCTCGATCGATCGATCCTCGAGTCTGGTTCACCACGCCATAAACCTAAACGTTTGGCGCTCCGCGCGAATTTCTTGGATCCGCGCTGTGCCCCCCAGGCGGCGCCTCTGGCGCCGCCCCTGGCGCGCTCCGCGCGCCAGGGAGGGGGGTCCGGCGCAGATCCAAGATGTCTGCGCGGAGCGCCAAAAGTTGATGTTTATGGCGTCGGCGTTGACGTTTCCTGAACCACCAGCCTCGCGTCTGGGAGAAACAGGAAACAGGAGGAGGCGGAGGAGGAGGAGGAGGGACAAGAGGAGGAGGAACAGGAGGAGGAGGAGGAGGAGGAGGAAAAGGAGGAGGAGGAACAGGAGGAGGAGGAGGAGGAGGAGGAGGAACAGGAGGAGGAGGAGGAGGCGGAGGAGGAGGCGTTCGGCCGACGACGACGACGACGCTTCCTGGGCTTCGAAGCCACGAGCCTCGAAGCTCGATGGATCGGTCCTCAGAGGCCTCGAGCGGCCGGCGGCGGCGGCGGCGTTTTCTCCTGGGGGCCGCGTCCTGGCCAAGGAGTTTTTTTTGTGGTCTCCGGCCGCGGTCGGGCGGGTGCCCCCAAAAACTTCGGCCACGCGCAGGGGGGGCGCAGGGGGGGGAGGATGAGGAGGAGGAGGAGGAGGAGGAGGAGGAGGAGGAGGAGGAGCAGGAGCAGGAGCAGGAGCAGGAGCAGGAGCAGGAGCAGGAGCAGGAGCAGGAGCAGGAGCAGAAGCAGGAGGAGGATGTGGAGAAGGATAAGGCCGTAGGGGGTCATGCCGTCAGCAACTCTGGGCACTCTTGACCCCTGGGAAGCACATGGAAGCAACCCTTACGGTCTGGGGAGCAAGGGTTTTGAAAGGCCTTGCCAAGGGCAAGCTCCTGCTTCGGGGCTCCTGGGTCCCAGTCTCCCTGAGGGAATTTGTGCCCGATGGTTCTGAGCCATGACTTGTTTTTTCTCTCCCAGGATGGCTGCTCATGGCAGCGTCTGGTTTGTCGGTTCGCGCGTGCCCGTTTCGCGTTCGTGCCGGCGCATGCGCATTCGTTGCACGTGTACCAGGCGCCCCGCCTCAGTGGGAAGGCGCGCGTTTCGTTGGGTCCTTTTCGACCTGGCTGCAGGTGGGCTCGCTCCCACTTGTAGCGTAGTGAGTAGTTTGGGGTAGGTCACACTATCCCAGCTGTTCGTCAATCTGTGTCGCAGGAGGAGGCGGAGGAGGAGGAGGAGGAGGCAGGGGGAGGAGGAGGAGGCGGAGGAGGAGGAGCAGGAGCAGGAGGAGGTAGGTGGGGGTCGGAGTGGGTTGGGTGCCCCCCGAAACCTCGGCAACGCGCAGAGTGGGGCAGGGGGAGGGGGGGAAGGCTTCTTAGAACCACCCCTGCCTCTTAGCAGGTGATCGCAAACATGGATCAGGGGGGCGTGGATTAGCGACGGGTCCCGTTTCCATGGGAGGTCGCGGATGTCCGCCGCCGAGCGAGGGGGCACCGGCCGCATTTTGGGGAGGGCACCTTGCCCGATCCATGGATTTGACGACCGCGCGCCAAATCCAAGGATCGCTAATCCATGTTTGCGCGCCCCCGATAGAAGGCGCGGACGGTATCTACAGGATACAGAGCTGGCGCCTTCTAAGAGGCAGCCTCCTTCTACGAAGCCTTCCCCTCTTGTGCGCGCCGCCACAAAACGACAAGATCCTCGAGCCTCGAACCTCGACTGATCGGTCATCGAGCTTCGGTCGACCGGCGACGGCGGACGACGGAGGCCGGAGGGCAGAGGACGAAGACGACGCCTCCAGCGCCAGCGCCAACGCCGACGCCGACGCCGACGCCGACGCTGACGCCGACGACGACGACGACAACGACGACGACGACCACAACAACGACGACGACGACGACGACCATCACGACGACAACGGGCGACCGACGACGACGACGGATAACGACTGCGATCACGACGACGAAAACTATTACGAAGACGACGACGACGGAAGGTCACGACGACGACGACGCCCACCACGACGGCGACGACGACGACGACGATCACGACGACGACGGGCGACCGACGTCGACGACGGACGACGACTGCGATCACGACGACGAAAGCCGTCACGACGACAACGACGACGACGACGCCGACGGGCGGCCGACAGCCACGAACGGCGGACGACGACGGCCACCGCGACGACGAGATCCATCGCGACGAGCGGCGGGCGACCGATACCGACGACCCACGCACGACGGGCGGACCTCGACGACGGCCGACGCGGGGCACTTCGGAGGCGCCGCGGCTGCCGCGGATGCCCTCGCCGACCTGGTCTCGCGAGGCCGCGCGGGGGGGGTTCGGGCTGCGGCCTCCCCTCCGCCGCAAGACGGGGTGTGGGGGCGTATAGGGCGGCTCTCTGCGGGCCCTGCGCCTCCTCCACCGCTCCCCCCCCGCCCCCCCTCGCGCCTATCCAGTCCCTCCCTCCCTCCCTCCCTCCCTGCTCCCTCCCTGCCGCCCTCCCCGCCTCCCGACCTCCCTCCTCTACCTCATCTACCTCCTCGACCTCCCTCCCTCCCGCCCATCCAATCCCTCCCTCCCTCCCTGCTCCCTCCCTACCTCCCTCCCTACCTCCCTCCTCGACCTCCTCCCTCCTCTCTGCCTCCTCGGCCTTCTCCCCTGCAGCCAGAGGGGGAAGGTTTCGGGAGCCTTTTTCCGTGTGCCCACGGAGGTCTATTCTTCGGGGCGTCAGGGTGCTTTCGTGGGCTTTCGGATCGTTCCCTTCGCGCCCCTTCACGTCGCACCTCCACCACCCCGCTTTGGCCCCCTGGGCCACCCCCCGCACTTGGCCCCTGGCAGGGCTGCTCACAGTCCGAGTCCTTCCGGTCCGATCCCCGAGACCTTGAGTTAAGTCGGGAACGTCCCTCTACAGGAGTAATATTCAAAGATGTTTTTTTTTCGGGGGGCGATGTTTCTACGATGCTTGGCTATGCTTGAGCTTTTTGTTTCGCTATGTTTCCTTCTCCTGCCAGCATCTGCCTGCAGGAGGACCGGCTCCGATCCGACGCGAGCGGCCCTCCAGCCTCGGCCTGCGTGGGCCGAGCCCGGAACTCCGCGATAGATCCCAGGCGCGAGCCGATCCCCAATCCGGCTCCGCGCAGACTCGAGAGCAAGAGCAAGCGGCCCAGGGGCCATCAGGCGATCGCATACAGGGATTAAGGAGGAGGAGGAGGCGGGAGGAGGCAGGGGAGGAGGCAGGGGGAGGAGGAGCAGGAGGAGGAGGCGGAGGAGGAGGAGGAGGAGGTAGGTGGGGGTCGGAGTGGGTTGGGTATCCCCGCAAACCTCGGCCACGCGCATGGGGGGGCAGGGCGAGGGGGAAAAGGCTTCTTAGAACCACCCCTGCTTCTTAGCAGGCGATCGCAAACGTGGATCAGGGGGGCGTGGATCAGCGACGGGTCCCGTTTCCATGGGAGGTCGCGGATGTCCGCCGCCGAGCGAGGGGGCACCGGCCGCATTTTGGGGAGAGCACCTTCCCCGATCCATGGATTTGGCGACCGCGCGCCGAACCCATGGATCGCTAATTCATGTTTGCGCACCCCCGAAATTTGCGCTCGAGAGCTCGTGCGGATTTCTAAAAATCAGCGATGCTGAAATATGGGTACGCCGCGCTGAGTCAGGCGCGACCCGACCCGTCGGGCCGGACGACAGGGGGGGGATTGTGACAAAGTCGATGATCCTCAGGACGTGTGTTACAGTGGAAGCCCCTGCCAAGGAAGACCCTGCTTGCTCCCAGGGCGCCCTAGGTTTCTTGGGTTTCGGTGGCTTTGCTGTGAACAGCGTGGCGCTGCCACACCAAAAATCAATGGAGGTCCTGGGGTCTCAGGGTTGGGTTTCTTGTGGGAGGTTTCTTGAGGTCGAGCTCCTACTGCAGCCCACTGTGTGTGTGTGCGTTGCCCCGCTCAGCTCCGCCGGTAGCGCCGCCGCCTGCTCCTCGGCCCTCGCTGCGCCGCCTTTGCGTTGTGTTCAAGGGCCTCGGTGAGCGAGCAAACGTTTATATGAACACCGGTTCTGAGGATCATCGATCCTTCGCCTCCTGCTTCTCCTCCCCCTCTTTCCCCTCCTCTCCTCCTCCTGCTCCTCCGTACGGATCTGCGTTTGCGTCAACACTTGTTCTGAGGATCATCTAGGAAGTGGGGGCGGGTGCGAAATAGAACCCGCTGCGTGAGCTGATTCGTGACTCCCCCTTTGCTACGTCCTCGTCGTCGTCGTCGTCGTCGTCGCCGCCGTCGTCGTCGTCGTCGTCCGGCCTGGCAGGCTCCCCCCTGCAGCAGTGCCCCAGCCTCCGCCCCTGGTGGGCCCCCGACTCCGAGCCCAAGCCCCCTGGGCGCTCGGCAGCGGGGGAGGGGGCAACAAGAACGCGCTGTGCGGCAGGCTTCGAGGAAGAAAAAGCGCCATAAGCATAAGCCGCTGGCGCTCTGCGCGGATCGCCAACAGGTTCTGTTTATGGCTTTTTCTCGTCGTCTAAGGTTCGCGTCGTGGCGATCGGTGGCGATTTCGGCGCCGGCGTTCAACGTTGAGCGCCAGCGGCAACCCAGAATCGGTCGATGTGGAACGATCTGGCGTTGCGGAAGCGGCCGATCGTTCAAGATTGCAGGGCCCCCCCGGTGCCAGGAACAAGCGCCGAAGTCGTCACGACACGAAGCCGCCGCAAGGGGCACCGAGGACTGCAGGAACGCTGCCCTGCGGTCGAGTAGGGAAAAACGGCACACACAAACATAACCACCTGTCGGAGCTCTGCGCGGATCTCTCGGGTCGGCTCAGGTCGGGCCTGTTCCTCTACAGGAGGAATAGTCAAGAATAGGTAAACATAATCTGGGGACGATTCCTGGAGCATTTCCCCACATCCAAGGTGGGGTTCTTGTTTTCTCTGGACACCCCGCGCAGGAGCCAGAGCACACACTACATCACTCACTCACTCACTCACTCACTCACTCACTCACTCACTCACTCACCATCATCACTCATTCACTCAAACATCACGTCGTCATCACTCATACACACACACTTATCACCATTGACATCAGTGGCATGATCACCACATCATCATCCACATCAGTATAATCATTACCATCAAACACTCACTCATTTACTCCCGCTCACTCCGTCCCTCATCATCACAAGCATCATAGTCATCACTCACACACTCACTCACACTCACATTCACTCACACACAGACCATCTTGATCACCTTGACCATCACTCGATCACACACTCACTTACCCACCCACTCATTATCTGCATACTCCTCCTCCTCATCATCACTTATTTAGTCATTCACTCACTCATCCACTCACCCACTCATTCGCTAGCTTGATTAAGGGGGAAGTATCAGGCGGGAGGCTCGTCTATGAGTGAATTGCGAGGACGTCTCAGGCGGGAGCCCTCTCCCTATGGGGTTCGCACTTCATATTTTTTTACCAGGCGGGTCATCCTCGAACCTGTAACTGTCGTTACTTTCAGGCTCCTGAGGCCTGAATATGGGGGAAGTATCAGGCGGGAGGCTCGTCTGTGAGTGAATTGCGAGGAAGTCTCAGGCGAGGCCCCCCTCCCCTATGGGGCCCGCAGTTCATGCTTTTAGTCCGAGCGGATCATCCTCGAACCTGAAGCTGTCGTCATTTTTGAGCTCCTGAGGCTCGAGTATGGGGGAGGTATCAGGCGGGTGTCTTGTCTGTGAGTGAATTGCGAGGAAGTCTTAGGCGAGAGCCCCCTTCCATATGGGGCCCGCAGCTCATGCTTTGAATCCGAGCGGGTCATCTTCGAACTTGTAGTTGTCGTCACTTTTGGGCTCCTGTGGCTCGAATGTGGGGGAAGTATCAGGCGGGAGCCTCGTCTGAAAGTGGGTTGTGAGGAGGGCTCAGGCGGGAGCCCCATCCTTATCCCGCATTTCATGCATCCTCGAACCTGTAGCTGTCGTCATGCTTGGGCTCCCGAGGCTTGAATATGGGAGAAGTATCAGGCGGGAGCTTCGTCTGTGAGTGAATTGTGAGGAAGTCTCAGGCGGGAGCCCCCCTTATGCGCTCTTCAAAGGGCGATTCGCCCGCCCCATCAGGCGAGGAGGAACAGGAGTAACAGGAGGTGAGGACGACGAAGGCGGCCGGACGCAGGGGGGAACCCATCCTCGGTCGAAGTGGGGGCAGGGGGAAACCTCTGTTTCTGGGCTGGCGGTGGTAGCCCATCGTCAGCAGAATCGGGGGCAGGGGGAAACCTTTGTCTTCGGGCTGGCGGTGGTACCCGTCGTCAGCCGAATCGGGCGCAGGGGGGAACCCTTGCGTCCGGGCCGGAGGTGGTAACCCATCCTCGGCCGACAGCGAGCAGGAGGTCACGTGGCAGAGTTCGGGGCCGCACACCGTGCGCCGCTCGGGGTTCAGTCTGACTCACGCGTCCTACCTCACCTCCACGCTGTCGCAGGGCCAGACGCTCCGCAAGGGCGTCACCATCGACTGCGCGAGGGACGAGGACGCTGGCCGCACGGGCATGTATGACGACCAGTGGTGGTTGCACCTCTACGTCATGCTCTCCCGCGCCACGTGCATGCGGAAAATATGCTGATCCTGCGGCCGCCCACGCGGGAGTTTCTGGAGCGCGGGCCGCCGGCGTCCTTGCGGAAGGCGCTCCAGAAGTTCGATGAGAAAGCGGAGAGCCCCAGGGATGAGGCCGAGCAGCTCGCCGCAGAGCTTGGCTTCGTGCTGCCTCCAGCCTGAGTGCGGCCGTTACTAGCTCGGTGCCTGCGGTGTTGTCCCAGCGGCTTGCTCCCGCGCCCCAGCGGCTCGCGCGGCTGCCCCAACGGCCTGGCCCGCGGGATAATCCCAACGGCCGCGCGACGCGGCCATTCGAGAACGCGCCCGTGCTGGCCGTGGCGGCGACGGCGTCGAGGAAGTTCGACGCGCGCGCTCTTGCAATAGACAGGAGAGGAGGTGGTGGGCGGCGAAACAAACAGCAGGAGGGCGAGGCAAGGGCAACGCGGGAAGCGGGTGAGGGCCCTGCGTCAAGGCGAAAATGAGAATGACGCAGAGAAGATTAAAAAGGCGCCCGAGTAGTCGCGAGGACGACATTGAAGGCTATTTCCAGACTCGTCGAAAGGATTTTCATGTGGGGTCTTTCCGTCGGAATAACTTTGAATATTTTTGGGTTATGTTTGATTTTTCATCCAAAAATCCGCCTGTAGGAGGACGCGCCCGACCCAAGGGTCCGCGCTGGGGCCCCTCGGCTGCGCCTCTGGCGCGCTGCGCGCGTCTGGAATCAGTGTCCCGGGCCTGTCCAAGAGATCCGTGGAAAGGGAGGTCTTGAAGGGGCGCTGATGGGTTAGGTCGGGCATGTCCCTCTACAGGATAAATATTTGCTAATAGTCAGAAAGTAGTATGGTTTTTTTGTTTTGGACTTTTAACCGCATTTTTTAATTATGTCTTCTATTTCGTCAAAAATCTGCCTGTAGGGGGACATGCCCGACCTAATTGAAAGGGCCCTTGAACGGTCCCAAATCTGCCGCCGCGATCCCGAACGCTGCTGGAAAGGCGAACCTTCCTTGACCACCGCTGGTGTTTCTTTCTGGTTTCCATCCGCGGCCGCACAGGTCCCTACCGCTTCCTGTTGGGCGGGGTTCCGCCCCCGATCTTGGACAAACGTACCGGTTGAGAAAAACATTTTGTCGGAGAGCAGGATCTCACCGTTCACAGGTGTCCCCCCGCTCATGGGGGCTCCAAAGGCTTTGGGGCATTCTGCCGGCCCCCAGACTGCCACCGCGGGCGCGAAGGGTGCCGGAGAGGTGAGCGCTTCCCCTCCTGAGCTGCGATCCGGCGTCGAACCTACTCTTTGACCCTTATCGTTCTGCGCTGCGTCTCGAGCCCGATCGATTCGTGAGGGTCTCGGGCTCCGAAATTGAGCGCAGCTGCCAAGTGTGACACAATGCGACGCCAGGGTCTCACGGCCCCCACCCCCCCTGGGCGGGGAAGGCATCCAAGGGAATGGGTTTCTTGTCGGCTCGCTTACGACCTCAATGACGACCTGGCTCGATTCACCTCGTGTTGGCGAGCTTGGAGGGCCAGAGGGGGCCGTTGGGGAAGGCTTGACAAACTCCGAGTGGAATTTGTCTCTCTCAGGACCGCCCTTGGACCTTCAGATCCGACGTTGCGGACAACATGCAACATCGCGAAAAATAGCGAACATAACCCTAGACCTCTTCGTTCTGTTGTGTTTTTTCGAGACAGGTCGATCTGCGAAAGTCCCAGGGCCTGGAACAAGGCAAGAATCGCCCGCTGTGAGAAAATGCGACCCGAGGATCTCAGGGGACGACCAGCCAAGAACTCCCCCGCATACACGCAAACAGGGGCGGCAGACTTCCGAGCGCCCGAGGCCCGCCCAACCAGGAGTGCGCACGCTCGCGGTGAGCTGGGCCGATTCCCGGGCCCTGGGGGCCGTCGAACGAGGAGGGATGTCAGAGGGGGGCAAAGGGCGGAGGAGGAGGAGGAGGAGGAGGGGGAGGAGGAGGAGGAGGAGGAGGAGGAGGAGGAGGAGGAGGAGAGGGAGGAGAGTGAGGAGGGGAATGAGAGGGATAATGATGATGATGATGATGATGATGATGATGATGATGATGATGATGATGATGATGCTGATGATGCTGATGATGCTGATGATGATCATGATGATGCTGATGATGATGATGATGATGATGATGATGATGATGATGATGATGATGATGATGATGATGATGAGGAGGAGGAGAGGAGGAGGGGGGAGGCAGGAGGAGGAGGAGGAGGAGGAGGAGATAGAGGAGGAGAAGGAGGAGGAGGAGGAGAAGGAGGAGGGGAGAGAGAGGAGGTGATGGAGGTGATGGAGGAGAGGGAGGAGAGGGAGGAGAGGGAAGGAGAGGAGGAGAGGGAAGAAGGGAGGAAAGGGGAGAGAGGGAGGAGGGGAGAGAGGGAGGAGGAGCGAGGAGGAGGAGGAGGAGGAGGAGGAGGAGGAGGAGCAGGGAGGAGAGGAGGAGGAGGAGGAGGCGGAGGAGGAGGAGAGGAGGAGGAGGAGGAGGGGGAGGGGGAGGGAGGAGGAGGAGGAGGAGGAGGAGGAGGAGGAGGAGGAGGAGGAGGAGGAGGAGGAGGAGGAGGGAGGAGGAGGAGCGGAGGAGGAGGAGGAGGAGGAGGAGAGATGGAGGAGGAGGAGGGGAGAAGAGAGGATGAGGACGAGGAGACGAGGACGAGGACGAGGACGAGACGAGGAAGGAGGAGGGGAGGAGAGGAGGAGGAGGAGGAGGAGGGAGGGAGGAGAGGGAGGAGGAGGGAGGAGGAGGGAGGAGGGGAGGGAGGAGGAGGGTAGGAGGGAGGAGGGAGAAGGGAGGAGAGGAGGGAGGAGGGAGGAGGAGGAGGGAGGAAGGAGGGAGGAGGGAGGGGGAGGGAGGAGGGAGGAGAGAGGGAGGAAGAGAAGGAGGAAGGACTGAAGAGGAGGAGGGAGGAAGGAGGATCGAGGAGGGTGGAGGGAGGGGGGAGGAGGGAGGAGGGAGGAGGGAGGAAGGAGGGAGGGAGGGAGGGTGGAGGAGGAGGAGAAGGGGGATGGGGGAGGGGGAGGGGAATGGTGGGGAGAGGGGGAGGGGGCGAGTCCCGCGGCCGCGGCCAGACGGAGGGGCTCCTGCTCGCTTGTGGTGTTTCCCTGGAGGGGTCAGGAGTCGGGTACCCCTACTTTCTCCTGCCCCTCTTCTCTCCTCCACGCATCGCCTGGTACACCTCGGACATCTCCTTCAGGGTTGGGCCAGTCGGTCAGCCAATCAGTCAGTCCGGAGGAAAGGAGGGTAGGAGGAGGAGGAGGAGGAGGAGGAGGAGGAGGAGGAGGAGGAGGAGGAGGGAGGAGGAGGAGGAGGAGGAGGAGGAGGAGGAGGGAGGAGGAGGAGGAGGTAGGAGGAGGAGGAGGAGGAGAGGAGGAAGTAAGGAAGAACGGAGGAGGAGGAGGAGGAGGAGGAGGAGGAGGTGGAGGAGGAGGAGGAGGAGGAGGAGGAGGAGGAGGAGGAGGAGAGGAGGAGGAGGAGGAGGAGGAGGAGGAGGAGGAGGAGGAGGAGGCGGAGGACGCACTGAGCACTCGAGGAGGGAGGAGGAGGGAGGAGGGAGGAGGGAGGAGGGAGGAGGGAGGAGGGAGGAGGCGGAGGAGGAGGAGGAGGAGGAGGAGGAAGAGGGAGGGGGAGGAGGAGAAGAGCAGCAGGGTTGAGCGATATAGGGGCACAGAGTGAGAAAGTGGAATACCTGTAGCTCAGCAGTTTTACTGATGGAGGGCGGGCCGTTTTCAATGTATGGCTCTCGCCTGCGCGCCCCGCGCATTGGTCTTAAAACTTCAACGCATCCTGCCTCAGGAGTGCCCACCCTCGCGGTGATCCGCGATTCCGCGGGGGACAGCGTCGTGCTGCCGCAGGGCGACGTGGACACCCTGCGGCGCCGGCGCTCAGTGGGGCGCCGTCGCGCCGGCGGGTCGCATCGCCGCCAGCGCGGCCTGTCGCCGTCGTCGCCATCGAGGGCCATACCCAGACCCCCCCTCGCGTCGTGAAAAAGTCGCGACGGTTGGCCTCTCGGGGCCATCGCCAGGCAGCGGGACCGCGAAACGACGATGTGGAATGAGAAACTGGTCTGGGGGAAGGGGTCGAGGCCAGCAGGGGTGCACGTTGTGAACACATCATCTCATGACGTCGGGGGTGCGGGCATGGCCCTTGTTGTGAGGTCTTGGCGCTCGTTGAGCATTCGGCCGGGGCGGCTCTCGTGGCCATGGCCAGTCGCATCTCGAAGAGCCGGCCTGGCTGGCGTCCTGGGAGGTGGGCAGGAGACCGACTCTGACAGTGAGGACCCACGCGTCGCGAGCAAAAACGAGGCGTTCGGTTTTGCATCGAGTTCTGCTTCTGGAGGCCCGTCTCCGTCTCTGGGACCGTCAAGACACGGCCCGATATAGATTACCCTGACGATGTACGCAAGCCTTGCGCAGCGCGTGGCCCTGGGTAGATTTCTAGGAGGGGTTGATCACGTGGCAATGATTATCCGTAAGGGCTTCGCCCCCTGCCGCCGGCCCCCTCGCTCGGAGAATGGGCCATGGAAGAGCTAAGTCATGAGGCCTTGGCGCTGTCGTGAAGCAGTATCGAAACTTCATGCGAAGCCGATTCGCAATCATCCACACCTTGCGATTAAAGGGCCGAGGGACTTCTCGCAGTTTGGGTTACCACGCCTTGCGATGGATGTGCGTGAAGGGTGGCACCGAATTTCAGAAATGTGCCAAATCCCCTGTGTTTTTTTGACCCTGACCCCGCGGATGCTGCATAAGTGTTTTTGGACCCTGACCCCGCGGACCCGAATTTCAGAAATGTGGCAAATCCCCTGTGTTTTTGGACCCTGACCCCGCGGATCTGCGTGAGGGGTGGCACCGAATTTCAGAAATGTGGCAAATCCCATGTGTTTTTGGACCCTGACCCCGCGGATCTGCGTGAGGGGTGGCACCGAATTTCAGAAATGTGGCAAATCCCTGTGTTTTTGGACCCTGACCCCGCGGATCTGCGTGAGGGGTGGCACCGAATTTCAGAAATGTGGCAAATCCCCTGTGTTTTTGGACCCTGACCCCGCCGATCTGTGTGAGGGGTGTCGATTTCGAGCCCCCCCCCGCAATTCAGACAACGCGCCCAGGGGGTGCTAAAATGCCGGTTTGGGCCTCCCCCCCCCTCGCGCGGTCAATCAACTAGTTACAGCAACCAGCAATAAGCAGAACTGCAACACTGGAAACTACAAGCTACAACTGGTACAGGAAACTGCGAATCCCGCGCCTACAGCCTGGTGGCCCCACAAGGGGGCCGGCGGATATTTTCTCCGAGCGCTGCTTGGGAGGCGCGCGAACTGCGCGACTCGCAGGACATCGATCGATGGACAAAGCCTTGGTGGAGATGAGTAGGTATTCCCCTGGCTCAAAGGGAACGAGGGGCTAATATTCAGAGGAGAAGGCGGACGAGGATCTTGAAAAAGCATCGGGGCAGCAGCAAGAGGACACAGCAACAGGAAAGGCAGAAGTGACAACGAGAGAAAGGCAAACAAAAAGAGATAATACGTTTCGCGATACGCCACCAATCAGTGGTACTGTCAGTGCAAAAACTGCGCGAGGCCGAGCTGCTCTGCCAGCTGCTGGGCCTCTTCCCGGGGTTTTCCAACGCGGAATATAAAGACGCGCGTGCGCGCCGCGAGGTCTAATCTGAGTCGGCGTAGGACGCCATTTTACTGGACTCCCCGGCAGCCTTCAAAAGTGGAGAGAGTTGCTCAGATCGCAGCCCCCCAGGGATGGCGAGGTCGAGTCTGAATTTGCGTAGGACGTCACTCCGCTGGCCCCCTCCCAACAGCCTTCGAAATTGGCGACGGCTTCGCGGATCGCACCCCTTCAGGGATGGCGAGTTAACTTGAATCTGCGTAGGACGTAGTCCCGCTGGACCCCCAGCAGCCGTCGAAAGTGGCGACAGTTGTGCAGATCGCAGCCCCCTAGGGGCGGCGAGGTCTGATGGGAGTCAGCGCAGAAATTGGCGACGATTTCGCAGATCGCAGCCCCCGCGGGGAGAGCGAGGTCGAATCTGAATCTGCGTATTGCGTCACAGTGTTGCCCCCCCCAACAGCCTTCGAAATTGGCGACGGCTTCGCAGTTCGCACCACCCCAGGAATAGCGAGGTCTAGTTTGAGTCTGCGTACGACGCCACTGTGCTGGCCCCCCAGCAGCCTTCGAAAATGGTGAGAGTGTCGCAACTCGCAGCCCCCCCCAAAGGATGACGAAATCTGATTTGCTTTCGCGTATGGTGCCGCTGTGTTGGCCCCCCCCCCCCAGCTGCCTTCGAAATTGGCGACGGCTTCGCACATCGCAGACCCCCAGACATGGCGTCGCTGTGCTGCCCCCCCAGCAGCCCTCGAACGTGGCGACAATTTCGCAGATGGCAGCCCCCCAAGGATGGTGAGGACTAGTCTGAGTCCGCGTATGGCTGTGCGCGCCCCCGCAGCAGCCCTCGAAAGTGGCGACACTTTCGCAGATTGCAACCCCCAGGAATGGCGAGTTCTATCCTGAGACCGCGTATGGCGGCACAGTGCGAGCCCCCGTGTCAGTCCTCCAAAGTCGCGGCAGTTGCGCAGATCGCCCCCCCCGTCCCCTGGGAAGGCGGGGTCGAATCTGAGACCGCGTATGGCGTCATTGTGCTGCCCCCCCGAACGGCCCTCGAGAGTGGCAACTATTTCGCAGATGGCAGCCCCCCCCTCCCAAGGAAGGCGAGGTTTAGTCTGAGCCCGCGTAAGGCGTCAGTGCGCTGGCCACCCCAGCAGCTGTCGAAGCTGGCGACAGTTTCGCAGATCGCGACCCCCCAGGGATGGCGAGATCTAGTCTGATTCCGCGTATGGCGTCATTGTGTGGCCCCCTGTAGCAGCTGTCGAAAGTGGCGACAGCTTCGCGATTGCAGCTCCCAAAGATGAGAGAGAGAGAGAGAGAGCGAAAAAGAAAGAGAGACAGAAAGATAGAGAGAAAGCGAGAGAGAGAGAGAGAGAGAGACAGGAAGGAGGAGACGGGAGGAAATCAGGACGCGATCACAGTGTTCTCTTCAAACCGAGACACCAATCACGGAGGGTTGGGATCAAAAACGTTCTCAGCGAAGGTTTCGAGATGTCTTGGTGGCCCGCGTCATGTGAAGACGCGGCGATGGATGTTTCGGATTGTTTAGTAGGCAGCGAGAGGATAATACGTCTCTCTCAAAGGGCCGCGCACGAATACCCAGACCTCTCGACTCTTTTACTGGTGACAGCTGTCGTCCCACATCCATGTCTAGTGGCAAAATGGGTCCGAACATGCTGTGCAGGTGCCGCGCTTTTAATCCAACAGGCGCTCACGCAGCTCGACATCGTCAACGAACAGGCAGCACTGACCCGAAAGCGGTGCTGTCGGCCATGCGCTGCGGCGGGGGAGAGCTCTGGAGCCTGGAGCACGAAGTCACGTCCCTTGCAGACCGGGGGCGGATGTGCTGCAACGCCAGAGACGCAGCGTCGCGTGGAGGTGCCACGACAGTTTCTTGGCGCGTGCTTCCCTAACATCCCTGGTCGCGGCCAGGTCGAGACGGCCAGCTTTTTCCGCTTTCCGCAGTGCCGCAGGACCGTGCCAAAAACCCGGAACGAACGCCTGGACCCAGGGCGGGGGTCGAGCACAGGTGGCACCCGGAGGGCCCCCAGACGAGGTACAAAAGGACCCCCCCGAAGCTAGAAGATTGGCCGGCAGTTTGGCACAGCCTTCTAGGCCTCCTAGATGGGGTCCGAGTAGATGGGGTCGGAGGATCGGGCCGCATCGCCGATGCATCGCCGATGGGCCCTCGGAGCGCGAGGACCCCCCCTTTAATCGCTGGCAGTGTTGCGACATGAGGATGACGAGAAAGAGGAGGAAGAGGAGGAGGAGGAGGAGGGGAAGGAGGAAGAGGAGGAAGAGGAGGAGGAAGAGGAGGAGGAGCAGGAGGAGGTTCAGCCAGAGCTGCCCGCCGCAGCGAGAGGCACCTCACAACGGACGGCACTACCGCAGAGGGCGCAGCGCGCGCGGGCCCCCCCGCGGCCGCGGCCGCGCCGCCTCCGCCTCCACGCCCGCCGCCACGGCCGAGGCCCCTCTGGCAGGACCCGAAAGTGGACCCCGAGCCGTTCGTCACCCTGAGCGTGGCCGACGCCGCGTCGCTGCAGGATGCCGCTCTTCTCCCATATCCTAAGGATGGGGCTCTTGTCGATTCTCCGACCGCGCCGGGTCCTCACGCAGCACCTTCCTCTCCTCCTCCTTCCCCCTCACGCAGGCTCACACGCTCGACGATGATGACGACGATGATGATGATGATGATGCTGATGCTGATGTTGATGTGAATGTTGATGCTGATGCTGATGATGATGATGCTGATGCTGATGACGGTATTGATGATGCTGATGATGGTGATGCTGATGCTGATGTTGATGATGATGATGACGAGGAGGAGGATGATGATGCTGATGATGATGATGATGATGATGATGAGCAGGGTGCTTGTGTTGAAAAATGGCGGCGATGCTCAAATCGATAGCCTCTCATGTTCAGAGTCGTATTCAGAGTCACGACTCAGGGTATGATGATGATGTCGATGACGTCGGTGAAGATGATGGTGTTGAGGATGACGATGCTGCTGATGCTGATGCTGATGGTGATCGGGATGCTGCTGCTGATGATGATGGTGTTTTCGAGGCTGATGATGATGCTGCTGATGATGCTGACGATAGTGATGACGATGCTAATAGCGATGATGATGATGATGCTGATGATGATGATGATGATGCTGATGCTGATGCTGATGCTGATGCTGATGCTGATTATGATGATGCTGCTGCTGATGTTGCTGCTGATGATGCTGACGATGATGACGATGCTGAGTATGAGGCTGACGATAATAATGGCAATAATAATAATGCTGATGAGGATGACAATACTGCGAAATAGTATGATGATAATACTGCTGCTGATGATGATGGTGATGCTGACGATGCTGGCTATGGAAGATGAGGATGATGATTCTGATGATGCTGATGATGCTGCTGATGATGATGATGACGACAACATATATATATACACATATATATATGTGAAGGCGAGGAGGAGGAGGCAGAGGAAGAGGAGGAGGACGAGGAGGAGGAGGAGAAGGAGAAGGAGGAGGAGGAGGAGGAGGGAACATAATTTGAGGATGTATCGGGCGAGGCGTTGGTTTCAGCACCCCCAAGGGGGGCCCGCCAGGGGGTCTCTTACTCATCCGTCTGCGCCCGCAGTGCGGGGGATGTCTCGAGCTGTGTTCCTGGATATCGACCGAGCATACTTCGCTTTCGAACAGATGTTTGGCATGTCTCGGGCGAGGCGCTGGTGTTCGCACCCCAGGGGGCCCAGATTGCGATTATGTCTCGAACGGTTAGCCTGTTTTGATGGCCAGATTCGTCTGGATTCAGAGTAGATTCTGAGGACGTCTCAGCCGAGGCGCTGGTTTTAACACGCCCGAGGCGGAGTCACCGAGGGGTATCTCATTCCCCCGTTTGCGCCCTAATTGCGGGGATGTCTTGAGCGGTTTGCGAGTTTACCGACCGAGCTTCCTCCGCTTTCGGAGCAGATGTTGAGGATGTCTCGGGCGAGGCGTTGGCTTTCGCACCCCAGGGGGCCCAGATTAAGAGGATGGTTCGGGGTGTTTGCCTGCTTGGGTGGCCAGACTCGTCTGGGTTCGCAGAGCAGGTTCTGAGGATGTCTCGGGTGAGGCGCTGGTTTCAGCACCGCCAGGGGCTCAGATTGCGAAGATGTCTCGGGCGGTGTGCTGACTCGTTTGCGTCCAGAGCAGAGTCAGGGGATGCCTCAGGCGAGTCGCAGGCTTGCACCCCAGGGGGCCCAGATTGCGAGGATGTATCGTGCGATTTGCTTAGCCTGGTGGCCAGGCTCATTTGCGGGGCAAGCTCGTTGGCTCCAGCATTCCCGACGGAGGGGGGCTGTACTCCAGGGTGCTGAGCGTGGCCAACATCTTCCGCACTGGCAGGATCTACGGCGTACTCCTTGCGCACGTGTGAATGCGGGTTCACTCCAGCGGCAAGTTCAATGTAAACTACGGCCTCGTCCAGCAGCAGCGGGTCACCATCGTTGAGTTCGTGTTCGAAACGGACGACCACATGAGCTACAACAACACGCGCCCAGGCCAGATTTTCAGGCCGCAGTTCCCCGACGGGCATTTTGCTGCAGGCCGACGACTTCCAGCACGCTCCCACGTGGAAAAAGTGCATGGAGTACGTGGACAACGACGAGCAGGGTGCAACAGAGACGCTTGCTCGCGGCCTGTTCTGCATACCCCTGATGGGGGCCACCTTCGCCTGGGAGGCGTCGTCCGTGGCGCACATCGTGAAGCGTTTCAACTTCATGCTCTCGCGCGCCCCCTACCTGACGACGACGCCCTCGCCGGGGCAGACGATACGCGGCGCAGTGACCATTTTCTGCGCGCGCCATTGGCCCCAGGGACAGCGCGGCGCTGACGATGACACATGGTGGGTGAATCTCTTGTGTGATGTTCTCCCGCGCCGCTCAGGTGGCGGACACGCTGCTAGCGCGGCCCCCCCCTCGCTGGCCGCTCGAAGGGGGGCCCCGAACGACTCGAGAAGAAGGAGGGTTTAATCATTCTTGCCGGGAAATCTGGGATGGCGCTGCCAGCACAAGAGTAGCTGCTGTGGCCCGATGCCAGGTGCTGACAGTCTTGCACAAGCTGGGTCAAAAGAGCAACCCGAACAGTTTTTCGATGGCCATTGCGTGAGCATGACCAGCCTGGCGGCCCGACGGCGCGCGTCGACGACCTATTTGTCCAATTCCCCGCGCGCCCCGCCGCGCGCTGCTCAAAGCCGAGTGTAGAGAATCTTCTGACTCATAGGCCTGATGCCATGCGCGGAGGGTCTGGCCCGACGGCGTCTGCCGACGACGCTATCCGTTCTCATGGCGAATAGGACTTGCTCTGGGCGCTCGAAGCGTGCGCCACATGTCCCCCCCTGTCGCGCCATGTGCTCTTGTCTGGGCTGCCACAGTTCGCGCCGCCAGCGGGGCGCTGGCGCGTGAGCTTCCAGCGTAGAGACGCGCGCGAACCTTCTCTCTTCCGCGTGGTGCGCCGCGTGAGACGTTTACGTGAGCCGTTGCGTAAAGTCGTGTGATAAGGGGGCCGACTACCTTTGCGTCCCCCAACCCCCTCTGGGCGAATTCTCGGAAAGACCCCGTCTTATTTGTTGTGCCTGCCCACGCTGAAGCCGGCGCGCCTCGCTGGGGAACGCTCCATTTTTTCAACGCCCACTTTCCTTCCGCGGGGCCAGAAAATAGCAGAATACGTTTTGGCATTGGCCGGCGGCGTTGTTTCCGACGTTCACCCTCCCTCCTCGGGCCAACAAAAATTGCGGACTGCGTCTTGTGTTGAGCATCGAATCTCCGCGCCCGCCCACCCGCCCACCGCTGCCCCCGCGCGGCAGCCGCAATTTCGTCGGTGGGTTGTCCTCGTCGTTGCTGTTGTCGTCGTCGTCGTCGTCGTCGTCGTTGTCGTCGTCGTCGTCGTCGTCGTCGTACTGTCGGCGTCGTCAGACGTCGTCGTCATCGTCGTCGTTGTCGTCGTCGTCGTCGCCAGGCCTTGCGTGCCCCACCCATGGTGCGTCTGCAATTCGTTGTCGTCGTCCGCGTGGTCGTCGTTCGTCGTCGTCGTCGTCGCTGGGCCTTGCGCCGCATCCCCCAATGGAGCACCCCAGCTCCGACTTATCCATTCGATTTTTGTTGGACCCACCCCCAGCCAACGCGGAGTGGGGGAATGGTAAATTTGGGTAATTTGTATGTACCAGTACATTTATTTGTATGTGTACATGTATGATTCTAAACATGTATATACATGCACGTAATTATGTATGTATGCATACATGCATGTATATACATGTATGCATGTGTCTATGTATGTATGCATGTATGTATGTACGCATGTATGTATTACTGTACGTTTGGATAAATGCATGCATGTATGTATGTAAGTATGGGTGTACGTATTTATGTATGTATGTATGTATGTTTGTATGTATGTATGTATGCGTATACATGATACCCTTTTCCTGGGCAGCGGAGCTGGGAAACAATGATCTTAACCTGTCGGTTAATGGGGTTGCGCTTATGTTCAAGGGGTGGTGCAGATGGTCGGCCCCCGATTGCCAGGGTTTTGCATGGCTTGTACACGGGCACCCATTCTCTGCGTTTCACCATGGAGAGAGTAATCGCATAGCCATGTCGGCTCAGTCTCGCGCGGTCTTGTTGAGGCCGCAGACGTGCATATACATTCATCCCAATCTAAGCCATGTCCAGACCCATGCGCATAGACCTATTCGTACCATACCGTGAGACACACTCCCAGTCTGTCGATACTCAAGCTCGTTTATACTCGAAGTCCCTTGCGGTCAGACATTCAGAGAGGAAGGGTCCGTGCAAATAGATGCGCATATGGGAAGCTCCACGCAGTGAATACTTTAATCCCCTGGCGATACCGGGCGACGCCAGGGGGGAGACAATAGGGGCGGGTGGGCGAGGGGGCCAGTCACTTCGCAATTCGCGCCAGCGCCCTCTGGGAATGCCCAGCAATCGCTAATTGTTGGTAGAAGGAGGAGAAGGAGGAGAAGGAAGGAGAGCTGGGTTCCTCGGGGATGCTCTTCAGGCCTCGTATGGGGTCTCTTGCGAGCCTCTTGAAGGCCTCTAGGGGCTGTCTGGGCGTCTCTTGGGGCTCTCTTGGGGCGCTCTTCGGAGTTTCAAGAGCGCTCTTGGGGCTATCTTGGAGGACATCGATCAAAAAAGAGGGGAGCTCCAATTACTCACCCCCCTCGGGAGCACCGAAAATTGCCTCTTGGACCCCTTTTGGAGCGCTTTTGCGGCGCTTTCGGGCGCTCTGGGGGCCGTCTAAAGGCTCTCGTGGGCCTCTTCTGGGGTTCTCTTGGGCCATCTTGGAGCCATCTTGAGGCGTCGGATGGCCATCGGAAGCGAACATGCGAGGAATCAAACCTTATTGATATCCTTTAAGTTCTTGAATGAGTTTGGCTCCTTGGGGGCCTCCTTGGAGGTCTCGGGCGCCTCTTGGAGCCGTCTTGGAACGTTCTTGGGGCCTCTTGGGGCATCTTGGAAGCCATCTTGAGGGTGCGCTATCTTGAGCCATCTTGGAGCTCATCTTGGACTCTCCGGGGCCCTGTTGGAGCAGTCTTGAGCCATCTTGGACGCTCCAACGCCTCGCGGCCCCCCCCCCGTTCAGGTCCGGAGGGGGGGGGTAAGGGGAAGGGGTCAAGCTACCCACCCGCCCGCAAGCCGTCTAGCTCACTCCCACCCGCCCTCCCAACACATAGGTAATACCCGAGCCTGAGCATGTTCTGTGGTCGTCTTTGGATCGACAGCTACTGGGAACCAAAGCCGACCCCAGGTGCGCGACGCTTGGGCGAGGTGCGCCACGCGTGCCAGTGGCGCCACGCGCGCCAGGCACCCCTAGGGCCCGAGCGTGCCAGGCACGCCTGGTGCGCCAGTTGCGCCACGTGCTCCGAGTGCGCCAGGTGTGCCGCGCACTCCAGCCGCGCCAGGTGCGCCATATTCGGGGCACGTACAGAGTGCGTCAGGTGCGCTTGCGCACGTGACAGCACACATTGGGAAACATGTCGGCCCCCACCATCTTTGTCGAAAACCAATGCATATTATTGTGTCTGGTGGGCCTGCGCACAGCAGGCCACGCGCCACAACCCCCGCCGTCCCTGTCAAAAACCACTTGACAGTGATCGCGGGGTGGCCGCGCATGATCCAGATTTCGCCGCGAGGTGCATTTTGTATTATTTGTTGTGAGGGATGGTAGTCCTGCGCACAGCAGGGAGGATATGACCCCCCCTTCGCCTCTGTCGAAAACGGTGCAAAGTGTTCGCGGGGCCTCGCGAACATGACCTCAAGACTTTGCCCAGAAGTGTACCTTGCATTGGTTTTTGAGAGGATGGATTGTGGGGGGGCCGCATCGGTTCGGCCGCGCATGCTCCAAATGTGGAGGCAGAGTGCGTGTTGTATGGTTTTTGAACGGGATGGTGCGGGGGGGGGGGGGCGCATGGGGTCGACATGGTTCCGGGTTGGCCGCCGGCCAGGTGGGGGAGGGGATGTATATTGTAGTGGCCTCCAGCCAGTGCCGCCGATCCGGGGCGCTCCGGGTGCCTGTGGACATGAACGGCGACGAGGAAGGCGAAAACGACGACGAAAACGAATACGTCGACGACGACGACGACGACGACGAGAGCGACGACGACAACGACCACGACGACGACGACGACGACGACGACGACGGCGATGACGACGACGACGACGCGAGCGACGACGACGACGACGACGATGACGACGACGACGACGACGACGACGACGACGACGACGACGACGACGACGACGACGACGACGACGACGACGACGACGACGACGACGACGACGACGACGACGACGACGACGACGACGACGACGACGACGACGACGACGACGGGGGGGGAGCTGGGTTGCAGGGGGGGGGTCTGCTCTGTAGGGGGGGTCCGCTCGGCAGAGGGAGGGGCTGCAGGGGAGAGGGGGGGTCCGCTCTGCAGGGGGGGGGGGGGGGCTGCAGGAGGGGGGGTCTGCTCTGCAGGGGGGGGGGGGAGGGGAGGGGGGGGGGGGTCCGCTCTGCAGGGGGGCGGGGCTGCACGGGGGGGGGTCGCTCTGCCGCTCTGCAGGGGGGGGGGGGGGGTGGGGGGGGGGTCCGCTCTCCAGGGGGGGGGGTGCAGGGGAGGGGGGGGGTGTCCGCTCTGCCGGGGGTGGGGGGCTGCACGGGGGGGGGTCCGCTCTGCGGGGGGGGGGCTGGGCTGCAGGGGTGGGGGGGTCCGCTCTGCAGGGGGGGGAAGGGTCCGCTGCAGGGGGGGCCTCTGCAAGGGGGGGGGTCCGCTCTGGAGGGGGGGGTGGGGCGAAGCACTGAATTAGGTTGGAAATAGGTCGGAAATAGGTCGGAAACAGGTCGGAAATAGATCGGAAATGAGGTCCCCCTCCCCTCGGCAGAGCGAAGCTTGAGCGAGCTCAAGCCCACGCTCTCAGAAACTCACACGCCGGATCGGCGGATTTATGGGGAACAGTGATAAGCCCTTCCCCGAAGGAGAAAAAGGGGGTTGGAAGAGGAGCCTCCCTAGGCCACCTACGCCCAGACGGCGGGTGGGACTCCCACATGGCGCTGGCGCGAATGGTGAGGTGGCCAGGGACGGGGGGGTGGCGGCGGACCTGGTGACGGGCGTCATCGCGAGTCATGAAAAGCATGCTCCAGGCTTTGTGCTCCGCGCTGGCCCAGGCCGGCGTGGAAGGCGCGCCCCGCGATTGCTGCTTTTCTCTTGCCGCGCGGCCACCGTGCTTGGTGCTGTACCCTGAGACCCTGGCGTCGCATTTTTTTCCGCCGCGGGCGATGTTGCCTTGTCCTGGGCCCCGGGACCATCACAGAACGATCCGGCTCGAAACATCCAGCAAACAGATGGGGTCCAGGGTTGTGGTTGAGTTTTTCTTGCGCAATGTGGCAACTGCTTCGCAACGTCGGATCTCAAGAATTGGGAGCAGGAAGCGCATCACTACAATTTGGAGGCATGCAGGATGAGCCGGTGTGTGGGATGCGGGTGTGCACGATGTCCCACGAGAGCGCCCGCGAAGGCATGCACCACCACCCCCCCCTGTCCATCACAGACCTGCATCCTCCATGTGGTGGCGGTGGCGGTGGTGGTGGTGGTGCGTTTCCCTTTCCTGAGTGGTAGGGAACGACGGCGGTAGGGAGCGGTACCGGAGGCCAACAGCAGCTTCCTCTGCCCGCTCTGGGCGGGGCTCCCTGCCAGTGTCGCCGCGGGCGCCAGGCGCCGCCTGCCCTCAACAGGTGGAAAAGGTACCCATACCGCTACCCTTCCCTCTTTTCCCCCTTTTGGTTATCCTTGGTGGCCCCCGCCGCCACCGCTGGATTCTCCTCCGCCATGTCCTTCGGCGAGCTGGTGCGGCGGGTGGCGGGGCCGCCGCCAGCCTGCCGCGGGCAGCGCGGCTGAGGCGGCCAGGCCAGGTTGCCCGCGTGGCGGGCCGCTGGCCAGGCCGCTGGCCAGGCCGCAGGCCGTGGTGCCTCACCACAGACCGAGGGTCTGCCCGCCACGTCCCTGTGGGTGGGGGCCCTTGGTCCTGCGCCGCGCTGGGGCGCGCCGCCTCGCTCGCGGATGGCCGCGAGCGGCTGAGCGCGGCGGGCGCGGGGGGCCGCTCGACCGCGTCTCGGTTTGCTCCACTCCACCCCTCCTCCCCCTCCTTCCCCTGCTCCACCTCCTCCCCCTTCTCCCCTCCTCGGGGTTCCGTCCGCCCCCGATCCTCATGTAGGCCGACCTCTGGACGGTGGCCTGGAGCTTCAGGCCAAAACTTGCCGCCTGCCCCCAGCGGGCCTGCTTCCGCCTATGGCTATCCGCGCAGGTGTTCGAGGCAGGTTTGGCGGCCCCATCGCGCTCGTGGAGCTTTGGACCCGCCGCTCTGGCTTGGCCTGGGTTGCGGCTTTCTCTTCGTCGTCGTCCTCCTTCTTCTCCTCATCCTCCCCCTCCTCCTCCTTCTTCCCCTCCTCCCCCGCCCTGAATTTGTCATTCCTTCATTCCCCCTCCCTCTCCCAACCTTCTCTTTCCTCCCTTCCGCCAGCGTGGTAGGGCCCCCCCGCGAGGAAGCCGCATCAATGGAGATTGAGGTTCGGAGGATCGCGGTTCATGAAGGTGTTGGCCTTCTTGGGCCCCCGAGGGGATCCTCATCACCATGGCTGGATGTTTAAGGTTGTGGTCATAAGTGTGAAAGTTATATTAGCAATGATGTGAGTTATAGGATGATGCTTAGAATTATCGATGTTATTACTCTCACTCGCTCATGCTTGCACTCTCGTGTTCACTATTGCCATGTGTGGTTTGGACCCGCCCAGCTGAGGCGGGAGGGTGGACGCACCTATCGAACGCTGAGTTTGATTCGGTATAAGATATCCTATCATCTGCCTGTTTCTTCTTGCATCAAGAGGTTGTGGGTGGAGAGATTTGGATCATTATGTACATAAGGTTTCCCAGAAAGGGGTCCATCCAAGCCCCCAAGGCGTCCCCCGAGTAAGCTCAAGACAGCCTTCAGACACACCAAAAGGATCTCCATGGTGCCCCTTCACTCCAAGCTTGCCCGCTGCCTATGGAATATCCACCTTCGCTGGCCCTGGACATCTTGAACGTTCCTTATGATTCTCTCCTTGCGTCCGAAGGTCGCCCACAATGGATAGAAGGCCTTTCCTTGCCACCACTTATTGGTAATCAATGTGAATTCGGTACGCTGTCCTGCTACTTTTTTTCCGACGCATGGCTAAGTCATGTCTGGTCATGTGCTTCATGTCGTGTGTACCTCTAAGTGTGTATGTGAAGATGCCATGGTTGCATATAACTGGTATTCGTTGTGTACAATGCACACACGGTTTCCTTAAACATTTGCCCTTGGGGGTGGACCCTCTCTGGAGATCGTCGGGCCCCCGGGGCGTCTGGCGCTGGAGATTCGAATCCTGCAGCAATGCTCCAGAAGCTTCGGTCCCCCCTCCCAAGTCTGATCAACCTGGCTCCCCAGCCGTTCGCTTGCCGGGGCCAGCCTCTGCGCGGTTTTTCGGGCTGCGCCTGTGGCAGTGCGAAGAACCTCCCCGTGCCGCAGAAGACGTCGGCGTCGGCGCCGTCGCCCTGCGCCCCTCCCGCGCCGTCGCGAGGCCTCGCCTCCGCCGCGAGGCCTCGTCGCCTCGTCGCCGCCCATGGCGAGGGCGGCGCACCCCCGCCCGCCCTTCTGTTTTTGCAACACAGGCGCGTTGGCCCCGTTGCGGGCCCCACGACCAGCACCGACAGCTCGGCAGGTGTCGCAGGAAGATGGGGCCCATGGGCCCAGTGCAGCTCTCGCCTCGTCGCCACGAGGCCCGTCGCCGACGTCGACGTCGGCCTCAGCCGCACGCGCCGCGAGGCCTCGTCGCCGCCGTGCGCCCCTCCGCGCGGCCCTTCGCCGCCGTCCGCCGCGGCGACCTGGCCAGGGGCGGCGGCGCGCTGGGCGCGGCACTGGCGGCCGCGGGGCTCCGGTCGGCCCTCGCTCCCCTCCGCCTCGGGGCGTGGCCGTCGGCGTCGTCGTCGCCCGCCGCCGCTGGATCGATCGAAGGCCGATGTTCGATCGATCGGTCGATCGAGCGGCTGTCGCCCCTCGATCGGGGTTCGCTGTCGTCCGTCGCCGCCGATCGATCGGTCGATCGAGGCTCCCTTCTGGGCCTCCGAGGGGACCCTCGGGGCCACGGCTGGGTCCGCCTCGCCTCTGCTGCCCTCCCCCCCGCCACAGGATGGCGTTGTCGTCGTCGCCCGGCGCCGCTCGGTCGATCGGGGGCCGAGGCTCGGAGGTCGAGAGCCTTCGTGTCGGAGGCCTGGAGTTAAGTCCCTCTACAGGAGGAATATTCAAGGACAGTCTCGGGACGATTTTTGGGATATTGCTGGGAATTGTTTGAATTTCTGTGCAAAATCCGCCTGGGGGGGGCATGCTCGACACAAGCCTAGAGGTTGGTACCAGCACCAATCCTTGGTGCTTCGTGCATCCCAACAAGCTCATCATAAAACGACCTCAAGAAGGTTGCCCGAATGAGGGAAGTGTAGAAGCACGCAGTGGAGCAGCCGCTGTGGAAGCGCGTCGGGAGAGCAGAGAATTGAGGATCAGGATATGGGCGTTGCTGATATGTTGTTGTGAGAGATTCTTGGAGGGCTCTTGGAGCCGTATTTGGGCCCTCTGGTGGTCTCCGTGGGCGTTTTGGGGCACGCTTGGGGTCCGCTTGGGGCTCTTTCAGGGGGTCTCGAGGCCCTCTTGGGGCTCTTCTGGGGGGTCTGGGAGTCCTCTTGGGACGGTCTTGGGCCCCATAGCCAACAAAAGAGAACTGCTTTAATTCAGGTCCCCCCCCCTTTCGGAGGCCCAAATATGGCGTCTTGAAGCATTCCTGGGGCGCTCTTGGGCGCTCTTAGGACTGCCTTGGGACCCTCTAGGGCCCTTCTTGAAGCTCTCTTGGGCCATCTTAGGGCCATCTTGAGGCTTCAGAAGCCAATCGGGAACCAAAAGGCGAGAAGGCACAACCTATTGATTGTCTTATGCTTTTGACGGGTTCTGGTTCCTTGGGATGCTCGGAGGGCACCTGACACCGTCTTGGAGCGGTTGGGGACCTCTTGGGAGAATGCCGGGCCATGGTAAGCTATCTTAGAGTAGCGTGGGCAATATTGGAAACCATCTTGTAGCATTTCGGGCCCTCTTGGAGCCCTCTTGGACAAATCTTGGACGCTCCAATCCGTCCCCCCCGTCCAGACCCAGGGCGGGTAAGGGGAGAGATCAAGTTACTCCAAGCCGCAAGCCGTGTCGCTCACTCCCACGTACCCTCCCATTACATAGGCAGCACCCGAGTTTAGGGGCCGCCATCGACGACCATCGGAAACCAATGCGGACGCCAGCCAGGTGCGCGCTGCCCGCGAGATGCGCCGCACTTGCCAGGTGCGCCCCTCGCACCAGGGGCGCCACATTGCGTGATATGTGGACCGCCCCACATCCCGTGTCCAAAACAAACAATACAACGTGACGGAGGGTTTACGAGCACTGTGTATTGTGTGTGTGTGGGTGTGGGTGTGCAACCGCGTTCTTGTTGCATTTGATTTGACAGGGGTAGTAGGCCTGTGCCCAGCAGGTAATATGCGGCCTCCCCCCACCGTTCCTGGCAAAGTGAACTTTTCATTCGTTTTGCAACTGAGCGTGGGCCTGTGCACAGCAGACAAGATGTCGCCTCCCCGCCGTCCCTTTCACAAATCCAGCAAAGTGATCGCGGTGGGTCCGCGCATGATTCAGAATTTGATGCAGAGTGCACGTCGTATAGTTTTTTGCACGGGATGGTGGGAGGGTCTTGGCATTGCACACAGTAGGCAATTTGTCCGCACTCGCGCCGTCTCTGTCAAAAACCGAAAGAGAGTGATCGCAGGGCGTCCGCACAAGATCCAGATTTTTAGTGCAACGTGCACCGTGTATTGTTTTTGACAGAGCTGGCGTGGGGGGGGCAGCATTGTCCCGGGTTTGTCGCCGGTCTCGTGGGGGAGGGGGTGAATAAGGAACAGTGGTCAACCTCTCTCCCGAGCAGGAGAAGGAGATGTTTCGGAAGGGAAGAAACAATTCATCATACCACCTTCGCCCAGAGGGCTGGTGGGATATCAGCAGTTGCCACCACCAAGGGAAGGTGATTCCGATCTCGATGGTGGTTGTGAGATTCTGGCTTGGGTGGCCGAAATTACTTCTAGCAGCAAAATCTAGGATCATCTTCCCCCGTTGGAGGCACCCCGCATGTCGGTGTTGGTTCCGCATTCCCAAGCTTCCACTCGTAGCCACGACTGGGTCCGCGTTGGCTCTGTCGCCCCCCCCCCGCCACGTGGCGAGGTTGTCATCATCGTCGTCGGCGCCGGTGGCTTGGGACGCCTGCGAGGACACTTAGAGACCTCCGCGAAAGTATCCGTGAACTCTCAAAGACCGCCGAGGACCGCCGAAGGCCTGCGACATACTGGAAGCCTAATCCTCGCCTCCTTGCCACCGCCGCCACCGTCGTGAGCCGTCGTCGACGTCATTTTCGTCGTTGTCGTCGTCGTCGTCGCCGTCGTCGTAGCCGTCGTCGCCACCGCCGCTCGATCGATCGAGGATGGAGGTTCGAAGTTCGAGGTTAATCGAGGATGGAGCATGGAGGGTAGAGGTCTCCGCCGCCGCCATTGCTGCCGTCGTCGCCGTTGTCGTCGTCGTCGTCGCTGTCGTCGTCGTCATCGTCGTTATTGTCGTTGTCGTCTCGTCGTCGCCGTCGCCGATCGAGCTGGGATCGATCGATCGAGGACCGAGGTTCAAGGATCGAGTGTCCTGGACGTTCGCGGCCCTAACGTTCCCCCTCGTCAGTGCCACCGAGATGTGTACGCAGTACTGCACAGACACATTGTCGCAGGAGAAGCAGGCGCAGGAGAGTGGCCAGAAAGCCGTGCCAGAGAGCCGTGCCCTCCTGCATCGGTCCGAGTCTGGGTCTACTGGGCACCTGTCAGCCCAGGCTTCTGATGCTTTGCTTTTCACAGCACGGGCCCCCTCCGACCTCGCGGCAATTTGAGGCATAGTTTTTGTTCGTCCCAGATCGTTATTTCACGGCCCCAAGAGCCCGAACGCGGCCCCAGGTGCGCCGAAAGCCATGATTACTTTCGTCTTCTCCCCTCCGCCCCAGTCCCGAGTCGTCCCGATTCCTGGGCTGTTGCAGGTCATTGCCTCCGCAACTGCAGGGATTCGTCGCGAATCGCTCCCCTCAGCTTTCCCCCTCCTCCTTCTCCTCCTCCCTCTCCTCCTCCTCCTCCTCCTCTTCCTCTTCCTCCTCCCAACGCTTCGCGGAAAGAAGCGCCCTCTCGCCCTTGCCTTTTGCCGCAAGGCCCTGGAGGCCTTTGGGGGGATGGCGCCGCCCCCCCGCCTTGACGGCTGCCCCGAGGCTGGCGCACCTGGGTCTGCGCGAGGGCCGCCCGATTCAGCTGCAGCAGGGCGCCCCCGGCGGCCGAAGGGGGGGGGGGTCGGGGAGGGCAGGGGCCGCTCCGGTGCGGTCGCAGTGAGTGTGGCGGGGGGGCTCGTGTGGGATCGCTTCTCCGCGTCTCTCCTCCCTGCACCACCTCTTTTTTCTCCTTCCCGATTCTCCTCCTCCTCCTTTTCCTCCTCCTCCTCCAGATGCCGTGGCACCTCGAAGCAGCTTCGCAGCAGCGTCGATATAGTCCACAGGGGACCCGTCTGGCTTTCCGCCGAACGCGGTGCCGGACACAGGCGGCCCGCTGGCCGATGACTCTCCGCGTTCTTGGACTGGACCCTCTGCATGCGGCTGGGTTGCGTATGGATGAGGTGATTCGTGCATGCCCCGACACTAACATCATCGCATTGGCGAGGACTCGATCGACCCATCGGAAGAGTGATCAGATCTTTGGAAGGAGAGCTCTCGGCAAGTACTCGAAGCAGAGGCCGCTGATGGCCGCTCTACGAATCGGTCGACAGGCTGCGAGCGATGTTGCACCCATCCATCTCCCATACTAATATTCGCAGAATGTGGGCGAGCCCCCCCTTGGGGCCTACGGCAGAGCGATGGCCGTCCGTTTCCTGCTCGGCCCGCTGGACATTAGATAGTACTTTACGTTCCACCCAACCAGTCGGAGTACGCGAAGGAAGTCCCGAAATACTAGCAAACGGCGAAGGTCCCGATCAACCTGGTACGACTCTGTATTCTCGTCTTCTCCCTTCAGAAGTACAGCAAAATTGTATGAGGAACTGGACGACGGCCAATGCATCAGCCGTGCAGCTGGCTCATGGCAGGGAATTGACATTACCGCGTTGGGAGCTGGTCACGGCCGCAAGCATCGACGGCATGGAGCAGGTGACCGCCTACGACATTTGCGCGGACAACACCACACACTGGCCATGAATACTCGAATTGCCGATCTTCAATATTTTGTTTGGCACTCCTGTCGGACAGAGTTGTATTGATTTTCTTTGCGCCCCATTGGGCCTGACAGGGCGTATGAAACAATGCCACCCGTTGCGTCTGCCCGGCGCTTCTTTTCGACCATATGGTGGGGCCCCCTCGTGACCGTGTGCCATTGTACATGGACATGATATGCATCATGAGCCGCGCCCCGCGAGAAAATACCATCCGCCTCCATCACCCGGGGACTCAGCGCCCAGAGTATCTCCGAGCTGTGCACACTAAACTGCTGGCGTATGAACATACATACGTGAAGATCATTGCTGTTGACGTGAGGACGACCCGACGAGATTCTTGAGTGCGACCTTCATTGAGGCGGGACACCGTTTCTCCAAGGCAAAGACCACGACGGACGATACCTACAACCAGGGCAAGCAACAGCGTGAACACTTACTGCGAGCACGGGTTGACGTTGGACTGGCACGTACTCGCGCAGATGACCAGACACTGGCGGAATGCACTTTCCAGTTCAGGTGGATCTCACAGCAACTCCGACGGCAGCGACAGGAATTACACCGGCGCCGACGTGAAGTTGTTCTACAATAGTTCGATGAGGTGTGCATTTGTCGTAAGGTGGCGGCGGCGATGAGACCTACGCGCGCGGCGGGTTGATGCAAGGGCGGCGCGGCAAATCGAGATGGAACATTGATTCGAAGTGGTGCGTTCGCAGAGGCAGATCTGACATAGTTTGGCCACTACCTTGAAGTGAAAGTGGCATGAGCGCCACGCCGAAGACAATGGAGCAAGCTTTAGCAGACTAATTCCGATCCTGGACTTGTTTGCGCGTTTAGATGGGCGCTGACGGTTGTGAGTCGGCACAGCAGGGTGATTGACGCATCGAGAAGTATCTTTAGACGAACTCAGAAGCGCGGGGAAGTGCCGACGACGACGTCTCCGACAGAGCTTAGGCGGATGTGCGGATGTGCTTCGACCCGAACGGAACTCTTTCGACAGATCCGAGGGGCGAACCGTCATTGGCCGCGGCTGAGGAAGACTGCCGCGCCAGAGCCGGAGGGCCGTCGCACCTCGCGCGCGACGAGCGCGCTGGGCAAGGCTCGTCATCGCGAAATGTTTTACATCCTACATGATTTCGAGTGCGGCTGTGCCCCGGGCCAGCGGCGCGAGGGCGTTCTTGTTGTAGATGAGATTATAGGTTGGGGCCTCGCGGGAGGTGCGCGCGCGCGTGCGCGTGTGCGCGGGGGGGGGGGGGGGGGGCCAGAGGGGGCGGCCCGTCTGCTCGCGTCACCTGCTCGCAAGCAAGACCAGAACACATTAACCCACGTATCCAACGATTCAAACGCAGCGCGGTGCCCTTGGAGACTCCAGCGGGGGGCGCGGCCTTGAAGACGGGAGAAGGCGGGCTCAGTGGGGGCCCGCGCGTTGTCTAGCTATTTCGTGGGACATTTGTTAGGCCTCAAACCTAATGGAAGTGCGCAATCCAGTCGATCGACCCGAAAACATCGGGGCCAGCGGCGACGTGGAGGGGGAGGGGGGCGCGCGCGCGCTGACGACGTCTTTAATTGCATGTGGTTTCAGTTCAGACTCCCATGGGCGATCTCCGCTGCGCGCTGCGAAATTGCGACGGCGATTTAGACCGGAAGCTCGGGGCATTGAAGCGGGCCCGAAGCCCCGCCGACCAGGAATTGCACGTGCATTTTTACAAGGCGTGGTCTGCCGCCTGCAAACGGCCGGCGCGCCCCCGCCCAGAGCTGGCACTTGGGAACTTCAAGCGCGCGGCGCGGCGCCTCGGCGCGACGCTGAAGGTCGACCTGCGCGCCGAGGTCGAGACCGGCAGACGCTGCGCGGCATGTGCAGGCCCTTTTACAGGTTCATGGGGCAGAGCGCGGTCTCTTTCGCTTTGGCATCGATGCAGGCGGGCATTTTGCTTCAATTTCGCACAGAATGCCGCCCCCTCGGGCCGGGGCAGCCGTTGCGCAACCCCGTCCAAAACGCTCGGCTCGATGATCAGATCGCTGGATCCGGTCGCCGAGCGAAGCCATGACGATCTGCGACGCGCCAAGAAGATCATCGACGAAACAAATCCCGGCGCGCCGGCGAATCGCATCTTCGGAGACTGAGCTTATCATGCGTCGGCTGCGCTGGCACGCGCGCTGGGCCGCGGACCCCTCGAGGCGCTCTCAGGGGCCATGTCTCCCATTAGGTTTGTCGAAGTTCCAGGGGGTCGAAGGGGGGCGTCGACGCGGGGGCTTTCCGCTTGTCTTGGCATGGCCGTGGCTCCGCGGACTCGAGGAGGACTTCCAGAGGGCAGCTGAAGACTGATGACGGGGGGGGGGGCGGGGCGCTCGCGAGCGCCGCGCCTGTAAGCCTTGCCGTCATGGCCGAGAGGGATGCTTTATATGAGTTATCCCAGCTAGGTCTCGCAGAGATCCGAGCTCGGGCCATGTCGCGCGCTACCCCGCCGCCTCGCGCGAAGACGGCGCCGGGCCATGTTCCTCCGCCTGGCGAGGTCCAAGCCGGCTTGGGCGCGCGACTGGGAGTTTGAGTCCCATGTGGAAATGGACGAGTCCGCGGTTGCATGTATTCAACGCTCGCCGCGATCTTCTCAATTGCATGAGGAGCGCCCGTGCGGCCCTCAACTGGCCCCCCGCCCCCGCCCCGCCCATCGCGCGCGCAGGTTGCCGACGGATTGTCGGGCGCCGGCGCCGGGATTGTCGGGCGCCGGGGGGGCGCCGACAAACGCCAGCAGCCAGGTGACCTCTGAGAGGTCAGCGCCCAGCCAGGCAAGGGCGCCCGCGCGCAGCGCTCAGTCCAGCCCGCGGCCCCCCGGCAGCGCGCCCCGCGCGGATACCGGGCCCCTGGCTCGGGCGATCTGCGCCTGCGCCCCCGCTGCCGCCCGCCCCGAGACGCCCCGCCTCCCGCGCGATGCTCGGCCCGCGAAGGTGGCGCAGAGGCGCGCAGCGGAGCCGGCGGCGCCCGCGCGGCCCCGGACGCCCCCGCCTGCCGGCGGGCCACCCGATCTCCAACAGGCCAGGAAAAACGGTCGTCACACAGCTGATCGCCCTCATCGTGCGCCTCGCCCTCGCCGGCAGCAGGGCCATCGCGGAGCTGGCAGAGACGGCGCGCGCCGCGCGGCCCCGAGCGTTCGCCGAAGGCGACTTCGCGGACATGATGGAGTTCGCGGGCTGGCGCCATCGAGAGAGGTCGCATGATTTCGCGCAGAAGAGCGATGGCGATGCCCTCATCTACGCGCATTCGTGGCGGCCCGATGTTCCTCGCTCAGCAGCAAATCCACTTGGGCAAGGATCTGAAGGAGATCTACACGTCTCACCTGAAGCAGCTTACCTTCCTGGAGGTGGGCGAGATCGCAAGGCGCTGGCAGTGGAAGAGGAACAAGAGCGAGAACGCAATCGAGAAACAGGGCCGACTGATCATCACAACGGGCTCCGACTACGAGTTGGGCTGCAGGGTGATCCCCATGTTGCGCACGGCGATCTTGGACGTGAAAAGAGAGGGCCGCTCAAGAGGGGCGCGGAGAAGCATCCCGCCAGCTCAAGACGCGATAGGAAACACCCGACCTCCACCGCAGTCATCGGCTACAAGATCTGATTGCGCGAGGCATCGTGCCTCCCGATGCGCTTCAACATAGGAATTTCGCGCCCACCCAGCTCTCTTTTCTAACGACCTACGGCCCCTCTCTTCCGCCCGCCCACACCGTTCATGTAAGGCCTACGACCCGCGCTCGAGGGCGATGGGGAGGGAGTGTAGGTCGGGGCCGAGGAATAGTCCATGGATGTAGTCATATGTAACTATATATATATATATATACATACATACATACATATACAGACATAGTATATATAGAACAAGGTGATGTTGCAGCTGTTTTCTTTCGCCTCGTAGACGACCCCTCTCTCTCGCTCTGAGCTGGTGTCGGTCACACCGCCGCCGCCCCTTGTCGTTCGTTCTGGTCGTGCGTCGTCGTCGTGGGGAACCAGATGTACAAGTGCAATTCGTCGGTCCCCAGCGGGGCGCCTCCACGGCTGCGCTGCCATCGTGG